TATCACTAGTCTTGCGAGTGCAAAAGAAATTTGTATTTGGGACATATTTATAGATAATTCGATTAAAACTCACGTGTTGGCAATAATCTCTGAAGCAACAGAATCAATTTATTATCAATAAAAATTATTAGAGATAATAAAAATTGTCTTATGTAGTAAGTAAATAATTGATATATTAATAAATATGTTTTTTTATAGATATTTATATTAAACATATAATATAAATATGGTATGAATAACCTCTGAGAGATTATATAGCGGCATGAATAGTATAAAAACTAAAATATATAAAATAAATTGTAATGATGATATTGCGTGAAATATATTTACAATTTAAAATTGAAACAAAATAATTTAAAGTCATTGCAATCACGTAATATTCGCCAAGTAATTTAAAAACAAATACTAGTTTATATATTTCACACTTCTCCGATTACCTAATACTATTAGTATATATTAACATTAATTATTTATATTTAATGTACATTTAATTTCTTAATGGAGCATGTCAAAAAGCCCCATTAAGTTTCACTTTATTGGTATGTTGTTTTTAAAATCAAATGAATACTGCATAAAATATATATGTAGATATTTAAAACTAAATTTTATATTCTAAAATTTTAGTTTCTATGACTTTTATTGCTACAGAAATATTAGGGAAAAACTATGACAAAGATAAAGATAAGAAAAAAATTTGATGCTATAGTTGCGCAAAAACACTGCACTGCTTACAATCACTTTTCAAACACAACAACCTTAGCGCGAAGAATAGAAAGCTAATCTATAGCCAGATAATTAGACCAGCACTACTTTATAGGTGTGTCGCGTATAGCAAAGCTACCGACTCTACTATCCAAAAGCTACAAGTTGCTCGGAGTCATGCTCTCCGAAGACTCTTCAAAGTGCCATGGTACATCCGCACGAATGACATGCTAAAATACTTTCGATTAGATCCGATCAAAAAATACATAAGAGAAAAAACTCTGAAGCTATATGCGAAAACCGACAGGCTGCCTACTTAGCACTATCTAATCTCAGAGTAATCACGAACCGCATGGGGCGGTATGCAGATCTTAGATCAATCATTGAATAATCACGAAGATTATGAGTAATACTCAATTTAGTCAGTGAGATGGGTGGGACTCTGCAGAAACCCCCCATCCATCATAGCGTAAAAGTGCGCAGATGCATTAACTCAGAAAAGGCTCAACATAACACTAAAAGTACTGAAGACAAATATTTGTGAATGAATATAGTAGAAAACGTTGACCTATCTAGGTTTTTATTGGTAAGAAAATATTCCACATCATTTACTAGAGTAATTAAATCAGACATTGGAAATGTTTCCATTTACAAAGTAATCATGTTTGTAATTATTTTTGTGTTTCAATGGAATATAATTTAAAAAAAACAACATCCAAAATTCCAAATAAAGCACTAAAATGTGCAAATAGAAAATGAGTTGCTTGCTTAATGCACTAAAACCAAAGAAAGAAAACATTTTTTAAAAAAAATATCAGCTAACTTCACTAAAAACATGAAAAAAAAAAATTGAAAAATATTTCTGCAGAAAACCTCTGTATAAAAATTTTAGCTTAACATTGTTCGTTAACTTTTAATTGTTAATATATAACATAATTTAATTATAGGTAGTTTAAAGAGTTAACTCTTCCTTAATGTTAGTTATTATATTCAAAGAAAAAGATATTAGGTAAAGTTAAGTTTTGGTCTAAATGTGATAAATTTTCTTTTAGCACTACAATATTTTATTTATAATAACTGATACGTTCTATATATTCTTCACAATCTAAAACCATCACCCCTACCTTTGTGTAACATTCATTTCACACAATTCTATGTTGCATTGAAATTAATAACCCTGTTTATTTTTAACATTCATTAGCTTATCTGGAATGTGTATTAAGCTACAATGATATTCCAAGCAACTGTAGAATCAATGATTTATTCAAAGAGAGAGAAAGAGAAAGCCACACGCCTTTCCATAATACCAACTTAAATAGGTGTGGGCATCTATAATGCTACAATTGAACTGCATAAATGGCGGGTCAAAAATTGGAGGAGTTTTTTGCTAAGCTTATGACATAACCCCTTGCAAACAGAAAATAAAACATAAGACCACAGATTAATCACACTCGACTCTTACTATATATTACTATGACAGTAATGCTATATAATCTAATAAAGACTATCAACTAAACTGGTATACCAATTAGTTAGATCTTTGTACGATTACTTTTTGACTATGAGTAAAAAAAAGGAAGAGGAATATACAATCCACCTAACTTTTCACTGCTAGATAATCACAACAAAAGAGTAAAACCACCAATAACACAAATGTAGGCATTAAAGATATACTCGTTTATAAGGACGATGATCTCTTTCTGGTCTAAATAAAGGGTTTCTTTGAAATAAAGCTGTCAAGGTGCTTTAAATTTATGTTGTCATATCATACGCACATCTTATGAATTAAAAGAGCCCCATATCTGACAAGACAAGCTGCTACTGATATCTTCTAACTACATTTTTGATAGATCTTGCAACTGTAAGTCAAAGAGAGAAAATGAACATCTCACTCAACTAACTTCTTACTACTACATTCTCGTATAAAGATCTCGCAGAATTTTACTCTAAGGCCCGCGATCTAGAGATGCTTTTTCATTATACTCACTTATTAGAACGACGGTGTCTTTTTGGTCTAAACCAGGAATATTTTTTTACATAAAATTATTAGTGTGTTTTGGATTATTACTGGGATTAGATCATTTATGTAACACAAAAATTATAAACATTTTTTTTAAATAAATAACCTAAGCTCAGTAATAATCTAAAATTTATTGAAAATTGATCGTATTAACAATTTATTATAAAGTTCTTAGTGTGACTTAAAATTGTGCTAACACATCGAACGCACTTATTAGGAACTAAGAGAGCCAAGGTGTCTGACAATTACTGATATCTACCAACTTCATATTCGACACATCTCATAACTATAAGTCAAGGAAGGTATGTTAAGAGAATATGTCACGCACCAAACTTATGACTGTGAGATAATCGCAAAAAGGTGTATATCCAGTCTAGGGTCTGCCTACCATTCTCAGATGTCTTCATAAAATTAAAATGTAGACATCACAGAATGCCACGTCTCTTGCAAGGTGGATAGTTACTGATATCTACCAACTACGTACTTGATAAATCTCATAACTATGTATGTGTCAAAAAAGGTATGATAATATATAATATCACGCATCAAACTTGTCACTGTGAGATAATCGCAAAAAGATGTATATTGTCTAGAGTCTACCTACCATTCTCAGATATCTCCATGAACTTAAAAAGATGACATTACAGAATGCTACGTCTCTTGCAAGGTGGACATTTACTGATGTCTACCAACTACATACTTGATAAATCTCATAACTATGTGTCCAAAAAGGTAAGAGAATATGTCATGCATCAAATTTGTGACTGTAAGATAAAATCCAAAAAAAAATGTAATCCAGTCAAGGGCCTGCCATTCTCATGTTTTCATGAATTAAAAAAGTAGACATCACAGAATGCTACCAAACAAGTGTATATTCAGTCCATGGTCTACCTACAATTCTCAGATGTTTCCATGAACTTAAAAAGTATACATCACAGAATGGTACCAAACAAGTGTATATCAAATCTAGGGTCTGCCATTCTCAGTTGTTTTCATGAACTTAAAAAGTAGACATCACAGAATGCTACCAAAAAGTTGTATATCTTATCTAGGGTCTGCCATTCTCAGTTGCTTTCATGAACTTAAAAGTAGACATCATAGAATGCTACCAAAACGGTCTATATCCAGTCTAGGGTCTACCTACCATTCTCAGATATTTTCATGAACTTAAAAAGTAGACATCACAGAATGCCATATCTCTTGCAAGATGAACAGTTACTGGTGTCTACAACTACAAACTTGATAGGTCTTACTATCGATAGATGCTAAAGCTGTTATTCTGTTCCATTCAATCAGTAACTGTTAAATTTAAGTGATTGACCCTTGGACTCACGTTTCTTTTTATATCAAAACATTTATGAATTTTAGTTTTAAGTTATTTAAAATCGTTTAAAATCATTAAATCAGTAAATCATCGGCATTCACGCCATAAAAAAGCTTTAAAATAATTGATAAATCATAAGGCATCGATTAACGTGACTCAATCACATTTTATTTGGCAAATGGAAAGTCACAAAACTGCTTCACTTGTTAGCCGACTTGTCATAATTCTACCACAAAAAATAAAAACAAAAATAATGAAACCTATTAAATCAATTGAATTCAAACAGGTTTGCACTTGAAACATTTTAGACACAAAAAAAATAATAAACAGAAATATTAACTAAAAAAAATCTCATGGAAAAATACGCAAAAATTGCAAAACGAAAACAGAGGCAATGTTGACATTGACAGTGGCAAGAAGAAGCAACAAAAGCATAAATTGTGACTTCTTTTCCGGTATCTTCTTTACATGACTCTCAAAAAATCGATGAGAATAAATAGTAAATAAAGAAATTAAACAAATTAATAGCGAAAAATCAATAAATTCGCGACATAATGCAATTAATTATTATTAGAAATAGGATCAAGGTTGCCGGCACGACACCTTATCACCATGAGAAGCAAATAGAATCATTCATGACTTAGATGTGCAAAATTATATAAAAAATTAACTAAAAAAACTACAATAATTAAACAATTATTCGCTTAATAAAATTTATTAATGAAAACATTTTTTATTAAAGATTTTTCTTTTTGCTCAACTTCTCCATAAAATTCAGATAAAATAATTCTGTGCGCGTAGCAACATAATTAAGGTAATAATGTTAAACAAACAAATAAAAAAAACGTTTAGAAACACACTTTTTTTAATAGAGGGAAAGTCAATTTCAAATATTTACTTAATACACTATTATATTTTCAAACGTTTTGATTAATTAAATTAATTTTTCTTTACCTGTTGAACTTGCCGCATATATGCAAAGAAAATTTCAATCAAAAACTTTACGTACGTTTTTTTTTCGTTTAACTAATCAAGTGATTATTTAATAAACACGTATATAAATATTTATTACGTTATTATTCCTCTTCGAAATTCAATTGCTCATCACGCAACACAAATATATTTAAATATTTTTAATTAAATTTATCGCCACAGAACAATAACACCACAACTACGTTTCAAGTTCTTCAATGGACTGATTGGTTGTCAGTTGGCTTATTTGATTCACGCAAGTACCAACTCACGCAGGGTTGCAAAATTGAAAAAGCTTTTAAAATTTTTAAGTTACGCGATTTTCACACGATTTATAAAATCGCGCTACATTTAATAACAACTATTCACAATAAATATAAAATAAAAATTATATGGAATTAACCAACCAAAATCATGCAAATTAATGAAAGCAAAATAAAAATGGAACTAACGCCACAGTTTACTTAAATGAAAAATAATAATACAGGAAAAATAATATTCAATAGAATTAAATTATGAATAACCGTTAAAAAACGACGAAACTAAAAAATTGATTTATGCAGTTATATTATAGTTATAATTAGCTCTGTTCCACAAACTACTTGCAGTAAAACTCAGGTAAAACACAAGTAACGTACAAACTGAGAGCGTAACACAAATAAAGTGCCGAATTACGCTCTTTACACAGATTTTGATGAAACAGCTTTGTGTGAAGTTTGGTGAGCCACCAGTGCCATATAAACAGCACAAAAATTTAAATGTAAACTTAAACAGCTGATTCACACACCACACAAATTTTATTTGAAATAAAATGTACGAGTAAAGTCTGTGTAGCATTTTTAATTTTCGACAGGGATATTACGCTCTTTCAGATGCTCTCATTTACTCGAAAATTTGCTGGTGAAACGCACTTGTGTATACACAGTGTTACTCAAAGTTATTACTAGTAGCTTGTGGAAATGTCGAGGATACATAAAAATGTATGAAGAGCACTATAAACAATTTTTTTATTATAAAGTAAAACTTTGCTCTATGGGTTTTACACAAAACATGTATTTATGACGTTTCTATTTAATACTTCAATAGTAACTTTAACATGGGTTTAGAAAACTAACAATAATGAATAATATGTAATTCATTCAAAATAATCAATGAAAATATTATAAAAATTATTTTTTTAAATAATTCAAAAATATAAAAGTATAACAAAAGTAGCTATTAATATAATAAAAAGGTACTAATGTTACGAACTAAGTTTCTGAAAACAAATAATTTTTTCATATTTTTTAATAATATTAAAAAATCAATGAGAGTTTAACTATTATTCTATTTACATAAGCCGTAAAAGTTGTTTATTGTATTTTAAAATAGCTTTTTATTGTATTTAAACTTCATTTAAACAATATTACTTATATTAAATTCATATGAGAGTTTTGTTTGTAATTTTAGCTGTCATGTGTGTGATTTCAGCTGTCAATAATAATGTTAATAATAAAATTTTGTTAAACGTAAAATCTTATGAAAACAGTTTAATAATTAAAACATTACAATTAAAAACCAAACATATATGTTTTGCTCTATTAAAAACAGTTTGACAATATTAAACATATTTGTTTAATTTATATTTTAATTAGCATATGTTTTTTTAACATAATATTACACTCGCAAATGTCAGACCTCAAAAATATTTGCTGTACTAATTGCTGTATTTAAAACTCAAAACATTTTCTGAAAAGAAAACGAACTATGTCAATAACAAAATTATGTTCAATATAAATAGTGCGATATTTAATATAAAGCAGCAAAATATATTTATCGATTTTAGGTACATATAAGAGATTTGAAGATTCTTATATACCATTCCAATTGCAAAAATAAGATGTTAGTTAATATATATCAATTGTGGTAATTGTTAAAATAAGAAACTGTTTTATTATTTTCAATGTTAACTCGTTTTACATTGCAATGCTGCATTAAATCAATTTTATTCCACAGTTATTAGTATAAAATAAAAATATAACATTTTATATATTATAAAGTACATTATTAATAGTTTAATATAACATGTGTGCTCTGTCGCAGGTAATAAATAATATAATATTTCTCATAACTTCATATTATTTCCTATAAAATTTTTAGTCACCGTATGGGCTGCTTAATTAATTTCAATTGTTTGAAATGAGTTCCACTGTGCTTATTCAATTATTCTCTCAGAATAACACACATTTGACAATTGAAGAATTCAGTCGATTCGTTGTCTTGCTTGTGCTTATTGTTTGTATGCAGCGCGTTTCTATATTTTTTCCTTTTTAATGACATTAAATGATGAAAGAAATTTTTTGTCAGAAGACAAAATTGAAGAAGACGAAAAAGTGACACGAAAGTGGTGGTGTTGTGTTTTTTTTGCAAGATCATTAATATTTATTTTTTAGCATTATTTGGTTAGTAATTAAATGAAATAAATATTAATTTACTTTAAAAAATTGTGTTTAAATATATTTGTAAAAAATTTTCACTACAAATGCAAACGTGTTAACAAAACAAATTACAAACAAATCTTAATAAATTATTCGCTACAAAAGCGAAATGAGCAACAAGAGTGAAAAATATAAGTGAATTAAGGAAAATTACAAAAAAATTGTATATTTGGTAATTATTAAGTAATAAAGTATTTGATGGTATTTTTTATTATAGTGTAATATTTGCAAATGTGGCAAGTGTACAGTGTGCATTTAATAAAATAAATCAGAAGTTGCAAAATTTATTTCCTATTCAAACTTTATGCGTTCGTTGCGGCTGATGACGCCTTCGGGACCAGGTGCAAATTAATAAATTCAAAGATAAACGTTGTACGCGATTTTGTTATCTAATTTATGTTCAAACGTTGCCTTAACCAATAAGCAATCCTCAAGTGGTCGATCGGAACTCGGGCCGCGATTATTATTTTAAAGCGACTGCGCGTAGTTAGAATTTCTTGTGACCTCATCATGTGCCACCAACGTCAACGGACAATTTAAAATTTGTTTCGTTTTCAGATTTTTCGTCGTTCAATGTTTATTTTTCCGCATTTCTTACTTTTCGGTTAAGTTTGCAGGTAATTTATGCAAATATTTAAATAATATTTCCCAATAATTGTGAAATAAGATAATGTATATATATTATAATAAGGAAGTCATTTAAAGAAAATGTAAAACTGTGGATGTCGTTTATAATTAATAAATCATTTAATTTGCAAGTAAAATTTGATGTGAATGTGCCCTTTTTGATAAATCACCCAGAGTGAAGAAATTTATATTCATCATATATAAAATATTTTTTTAAATTAGTAATGGACTTATCAAATGTACTTAGTTCTGGAGGCAATTATAGTTCATACACATCTGTATTTTATCTTCATTTTAGTTAGTACCGTTCGGTGCTTTTCACGGTTCATACACCACTTGTACTTTCATACCTTTTGTTCATTACAATCCCGCTTTTATTATAAAAACAGAATTTATTATCATAGTTCTATAAATATATCTCTTTTCGTATTGTTGTTATAACCCAAATAATTAATCAATAAAATAAGAACGGGAAGGGATTACACAACAAATGGACGGTTTTTAATGGGTATCACTTGAAATCATTTCAGAGAGAGGTCTAAGAAGTGGGAAAGGTAAAGAAGTTGAAACATTTAGACAGAGTCACTAATAAATTAAGATAAGAAGTAGTAGATTTATTTATTTATATCTTATAATTTGTTTGATCAATTTATTCTTATTTTATGATAGTTTTTTAATGAGTACCTATTTCAGTGCTTAGATACTACCACCACTGAAAATTAAAATATCGATAGTCAGAACATTTAGAATTATTAAAAAATTATACCTTCACTCAGGTAAAGTAAAGACTTTAGTAATATCATAATATCATACAATGATATTCAATACAAATGAATATCACTTTTAATATTTTGGATAAATATGTAAAGTATGGTATAACAATTGCTTTCATATGGATGGCATAGCCCAGATTGAGGGAAAGAATATAATCAGTTTGGGTCATCTTAAGTTAGGTTAGGTTATACCGCCGATTCCTGGTGAAGCCACTTAGGTCTATTAGCGCATTGTGTTATGTATATGTAAAAATAACTCACAGTTTAAAACCGCCTAGAACCTTTGGCAAAGCTTAAAATGCTATTTAGTGGCAGGTCTTGTAATTGATGAAGATCCTCAAGAAAGTGGGCTCCTAAAGTGTTGATTCGCCGCCGTGCATGAGCTGGGCAAAAACATAGTGGATTATAGGCACTCTCACCGTGGGTGTTCTTAGTGGTGACAGAGTTTCCTCTTTTATACATTATGGACATCCTAACAAATGTACATATATGTCTTCTGTAATTTCAATCATATTACAGTCTTTAAAGATCCCGCAACGATAACAATCAAAAGCCCGACTATGAAAGTCTTGGTTTCAAAACAAACCAACACGGTTGATACATGGAATTTTTTTCCATTTTGGATGCTGCTCAAGCATATTAGTTCGTGAACTTTCATAAAGAAACGTATCATTTTGCCAGGCTTAAGCACTTGCAAAAAAAAATGTCAAGGGGGAAAAATACCTAAAAAAATATTTATTTTGACAGTGTTTTTTTCATTGTGTTTGTAGATTAGTATTTCCAGAAGGGAAGAAAAGTGTTATCCACAAATTCCCCATGGATGCGTCACTGTTACATACAGAATATAATGTGTTCATTATAAAGGTCTTGACTGTAAAGGACTTGAACCTATCAATTCTTAGAAGTATTAAATATAAATTTTTTAGCGAAAACTTAGCCTAAATCCAAAGTCCTGTAGCAATAAAAACAGTTTATTAGAATCAACAACAAAAATACGTGTGTTGGTGAACTTAACCATTTACTTGATAGTCACAAAACTGAGAAGGCAATATGCGCAGGTTTGCACTCTACATTTCACAAGTTCAAATTTGTTTATTCTGAGAAGTCTGATAGACTCGTGGATATCTTATCTTTTTAAAAATAATAATATTTTTCTGTCTTGTCTTGCTAGAGTCTCGGTTTGCAGATTTGAGCACAGCAACCGAAATTAACTTAAACCAATGAATTTAGTCTGTTATTATTAAAAACGAGACACCCATTCTCGTTTTTAATCAGAATCGACTTTTCTTTAAAATATCATTTGTTAAATTTTAACCGTTTATTGCCATAGACCCAGATGCTACAAATATTGGATTTAGTTTGACGCAGTGTATTTATCAAAAACGAAGCGTCCATTAAATACAATTTTTTCTTCGTTTCTTTGATCAAACAATAAATTTTCCTTCACAATCTCAATTTTTGAACTTTAACCGGTTATTGCCAGAGACCCAGATGCTTAGGAGAAAAACGGATTGCAGATTTGTGCTTCAAATAGAGGATTTAGTATAGTGTAGTTCTTCGTTTCTCTGACCAAAAAATCAATTTTCCTTTAAAATCTCAATTTTTGAACTTTAACCCATTGTTGCTAGAGGTTCAGATGTTTAGGAGAAAAACAGATGGGAGATTTGAGCTTCTCAATACAAGAATAAATTAACCTAACACCAATTAAAAATCAAAAAAGAAAATTTAATATCACATAGTGTCCATCGAGACATCCATATAATACAATTTTTTCTTCGTTTCTTTGACCAAGGAAGATTTTTCCGAATTTAACAGAGTTTCAATGACATACCCTAAATGCGTGATATGAATAGAATTATTAATTCTCTTAGTTCCATAACCTGAAATAATTTTTTAAAATTTATACAGGTATAAAAATATATCACAATGGAATGAAATTAATTTTGTTAAATGCTAATGTGACTTTTTTATGTTAAAAATAAATAGACTTGAAGGTATGAATCAGCAATTAACAGTGGAATGGAGTGGAGTGGAGTGAAGTGGAGTGGCGTGGAGCGGAACAGTGAAGTGTTAGCACATAATTTACATTTTCTATCGTTTCGCTAATTTTACCACTGCCTACTAATGCCAACTTAAACATTATTTAATGAATTTATTTTTCTTTAGTAATGCAAAACCTTTGATGGTTTGCTGAGCTCATACACCGAACTAATCCTTTTGAATAATTTTAAATATATGACATACAAACCAGAATACATTTTGCATAACTTCAATGACTTCTTTACTAATACTTTTGTGTGTAAAAAAAAATAATAATATAAATAAATTGTTAATAAATAAATATTTTTTTTTTTTACTTTTTTTTTGTAATCACAAACAGTACAAAATTATTCATAATCGGAACGGAACCAGAATTCAAATAAAAAACACTGCAAAACTCATAGAAATACAAACAGGCAGGCAAGCAGATAGTAAGAAAGACAGACAGGCGTGATAGCAAAGCTCACCTGGGGTATAACAAGTATGAAAAGTAACAACAACAACAAAAACAAAAACAACATCGGCAATAGCTACACAGCAATCACAAAGTACGAAAAAGCCTTTAAAAAAAGTACATAAAGATACTTTTATTTATTTAAAAATTAAAATAACAACAATAACAAACAAAAACAACAACATAACAGAAAATCTATAAAAAACAGAAAAGTACTTAAGTACACAACATAGCACAACGGAAGAATCGACCAACCACAGCAACAATTTAAAGCAGGCGAACTCCAAACAAACGCCAAACGTCAAAATAAAAATATAAAAACAAAAACAACCACAAGGAAATACAAACAAAAAAAAACATTATTAAAAACTAAATGAACAAAGAAAATGGGCACAACAAGAAAGCAATAACCCCCCAACTTAAAACGACAACAACAACAACAAGTCATAGTCACGACACTTTTTGACAAATTTTCAAAAAAATTTCCTTCTCCAATTTAACTCTAAATTCAAAACACTAAAAACAAAAACAAATAAACTTTGAAAACAAAGAAAAAAAAAAAAGAAAAAAAGTAAGGCAGCAATAGCAGCAGCAGCAGCGCCAATAACAACAACTACAACAAAAATACTACCAAATAAGTGTAGTGTTGATTTGAAACTGCCAAAAGTTAAAAGCACAAAAATCGGTTTTTGGCTATTCTTGCGTTAAAAAAAGTACAAAAACAAATAAAAGAACATATATATAAACTCAAAAAAAAAATATAAATAAAAAATAGAAAAAAAAACAAATTTTAAAAGGAAAGTCTTGAGTACAATATTTTCCTAGTAGTTCGTGTTGGCCATTGAAGTCATCACAGTCATCGTTAGCGTCGTTGGTAGTTGTTGTTGTTGTTTTTGTCAACATACAAACAATTGGTTTTATTTATTCAAATTTGTAATTGAAAATTTGATTTTGTTTGTTATATGCTCTCTTGCCCGCCTTATTGGTCATGCAGCAGCTTTAGGGAGTAAGAGTAACAGAAAGCACAGAAGCACAAACAAATGTGTTCGGTTCAATATTATTGATACGTAAATTTGTGACATGCTTAATATGCCATTTCACCTTAAATAAATCCAACAGATCACCACTACGCTCCCCTCCCAATGCAGGCAATGCAGTACTGTTCGAATTAGGATTTCTGCAAATGTTTTTGTTTTGCTTAAAATTAGTACCTTTTCGACTTTTTAATGTTGCCTACAAACTCGCCCTCAGCGCTTAGTCAAAGCGGAGTGGTTTCAATAAGACTTCGATTTAGAAAATGTTTAATTAAAATAAATTAATTAAAAAAAAAACAAACAAATAATTAATTGTATTATATTATATAAATTTAAAATTACGCATCTCGAAATCATAATTAATAATAATAATCATTGTTTATAAGAAAATAAACTTAGTTTACTAAAAAAAAAAACGCCATCATGTCTGGAATTTTGGATGAAAATCGAAGGTTAAGGTAAGTCAATAATATATATTATTTTTATTAAGTTTTATATATTTTTTAATAAATACATTACGAATACATTATCTTAATTTTATTAAATATAATAATATTAAGATAATTAATATATTTTTTAATAAAATTTTAATATAAAAATAATTATATTAAAATTTTAATAACATAATTAAAAAGTGTTAACAATTTCATATATTTTTAATTGAACACCCTATAATAATAAAATAAATAATATACGTTTAGCAAAATTTTAATATAAAAATAATTTATATTTTAAATTATTAGAGTGCTAAAAATTTCATATATTTTTTATTAAATTCACTGAAATATTAAAATAAATAATTTGTGTGAACAAAAATATTAAAATAAAAATAAACAATAATCCAGTCAAGGCGTAGAGTGGGGTTATGAAAAAACCTCGCAGTTAGTAGAGAGTAAAAGTGATCAAGTCCACTGACTCTATTAGCCTCAACATAGTTAAAAATTATTAGTGTTGAAAAATTTGTCATACGATTTCCATTAAATTGCGAAACAATATATACTTTTAAAAAATTTATTTTAAAAATGTGATAGTACTTCTTTATGTAAATAGATAGAGTACATCACCATTACATGTTTCAGGAGTGCCAAGGTTTATCCGTCTTGATCCTGATTGAGTGCAATTTCAATCTTGACCATCGTCAATCCAATCTGCTCTCACTCCCAAATAATTTTCTTCCCTCTCATTTTCACGAAAAATGACATACATCTTAAAATTTATGTAAAGTTAATTTTCTTTTGTTTGAAAATACCTAACCATCTTATAAACATTTTTTATAAATTAATTTTCCTGCTATCATACATGTTTTCCTGCTCTTTTCTCACATGCTAAATTGATTTTTAATTTCGCAGAGCATAATCCATATATTTGTCAATAATAGAACTGAAACTTTAATTGGATATTTTAGTTTTCATAAGAACATACCCAAAAATTTATTTCGATCTGTCAAATTATTCTTCTCCATAACATATTTAAATTTGAAGTGTCAGTGTATTTTTTAGCAATGAATAAAATTGAACACCATATAGTGCTTAAATTTGGAAAAAAAATGTTTTAAAGCCTTGAAATTCTCACCGGAAAGATAAAGATAAATATAAATATTTTAGTTGAATTCGAATTTTCGTGAGTAAACTTTTCTCTCTGCACTTATTAATTCTTAAATTAATTCATAAAAATAGATTTTACCATATATTGGACTAGGGAATCATCTGCATTTATGCCACGTAATTAGGAAACAACCTTTATATGTTATACAAAATATAGCATCTTTCCAGCTATTACCACCAGGTGACGCTTTTAAGAATAACCACTAGCTGACGTTTTCATACAAAGGTGGACTCACACTTTTATGTTAATCGCAATTTTTTGATACAAAGCAGTACAAATACCAACGACAGATGCAGTTAGGGACAGAAGTTCAGAGTCATTTAACGTGGTTACCTGCCATAAATACTTGACACTACGGGGTTATTAAAACACGTATCAATATAAAGCGTTGTTAAAGAACCCATTGAAATACTAAGAGATTTAGTCGGTAATAATTTAAGCTATACGTTTGAATATAGTTTACTCAATGATGGCGAGACCATTGATAGTTTCCTCAACGATGGAGGAATTATTTGAGCATTTATTATGTCATTGTCAGGTTCTTTTAACATAAGAAATTAACTTCTTAATGCATTTCTACTAAAAAATTAAGCCCGCGACAATTCCGTACAAGCATACATTGAATCAGACGTGTAAGATTTGTTATTGAAACCACATAGTTTATTAGTTTATCAGTAAACTAGCGATGCTACCAAAACGATCTCTAAGCCTATATACGACGTAATAGTTACTTTGCATGGGATTGTAATAAATCTTATATTAATATTATATCATAATAATATTAAATTTATAATACATATTATAAGTTTAAATATGAAATTATTAAATTTAATATTTAATAATTAAATTTACTTTGCGCGTGATCGTTATAAATCTTATAATAATATTATATCATAATAATATTAAATTTATGATACATATTATTGTAAGTTTAAATATTATTATTATGTTAAGCCTTTTCCGAGTTAGTGTATCTGGACACTTTTACTCTATGATAGCTGGGGGGATTCTGAAGAGTCCCACCCATCTCACTAATTTGAGTATTCCTGATAATCTTCGTGTTTATTCAATGATTGATCTAAGATCTACGTACCGCATATAATCATATTATTCATCAGAAATGATATATTAGTGTATAGATATTCTTGAGTAATTATAAGATATATCTATAAAAGTAGTATATTAATAAATATGTCTGCATAAATTTTGGGCGTCCCTCAAGTGTGTGATCTCAGCTGCGTCTAAGTGTCAATACATTATGAATTTGATAAATGAGCTAGCAGCTTTTGCATTATTATTTTTTTTTTAAGTTTTAAAACAAGTAAATTAAATTCTAAATAATGTGCACATATAAATTAATTATAACCAAAATAATAGATACGTTTTAAGAAATTTGTAAAAGTGATTTTTAACAAATTTAGCAAGACACCTCAAGACAAGAAAATAAACTCATAACACTAAAATCCATTCCAACAATAATAAAAAGATAAAAACACCTTCAAATCCGACACAAAACACACATAAAAAACGAACTGAAATCGCAAAATTGCTGCGAAACTGACAGGCGATCGAACAAATGAGACTTAACTAAAAACGGCTGATGGCAGCGACACGGTTCTCGACGAGATCGTCACCGACATTGCCTTTTAATAAATTTGCCATTTTCGCATTCAAATCAAATAAATAATTTCAGGCAAAAATTGCCATTGCAATTTAATGTTTTTGTAGGAAAATCTATGAAACTATAAAAAAGCATAAAAGCATAAAATATTTTGAAAATGGTTTCGGCAACACTCGTTCCATAGTTCTGACCTGTTGAGATGCATTTGCGACAAGCTTCGGTTCAGTTTTATAACCAAGCCTGCAGTGACTCGGTAATCGGTAACGGCTCTGTTCTAAGCTCAACAGTTGGAAAATTCAATTGCAGACGGCAATAGTAGTGAGTCAGAAGATTGGACGTAGAGTTGCGTGTGATTCAATTTTTGTATCTCATATCTCGTATCTCGTATCTTAATTTCTAGTTAATTTTAAATGAAGTGCGAAATGAGCAAATAAATAAATATTTAAATATTTCACATAAAAATAATGAGCAAAAGTTTGCATTGAAAATATGCTGAATTATCTAAAATATTTAAAAATTACTAATGTGCGGTAAACGTAACGTATTCGCCAAATATGTATTTCAGCCTGCAAGAACGGTAGTTTGCTTAAAAGTTTTTTATTTTTAACAAATATTTTAAATAATTAAATTCATTCAGTTTTTGCAATAGTTTTTTTTTAACCAAAATTATATGCAAATGGTTTTTATTTGATGAAATTCTTCAAATATTTACATTAATTGCAAATTTAAAGTAGTTGCCTTCGATCCGCTTGTGTTGAGAAACATTGCATTGCATATGCGAATTAAGTAATTTTAAAGCAATTCGTAGTTTTTATTCTAATCAAATATTTAAAGAATTTGTGAATTTTTTTCTACAAAATTACTATTTTTGAATCCTTTAAGTTTATGTTTAATTGATAATAAGTAATACTTCATATAGACTAATACTAGACATGTACAAAGGCCATATTTATATATTGTAGTAGCCTGATGTGTTAGGAGGTGATATTAGATTCATCACCTGTGGATTTCAATGAGTATGTTGATGATCAGCATTCTTCTTTCAAAACTTGGATATGTCTTTTTTAATTGTTGGATTTCGGTACTCTATAATTATACTCATTAATAAATGATAAATGAACCATATATAGTGTAGTCAATTCGAATCGTTAGATTTGTATCTCCCGAAGTACGGGTAACTGCATAACTCTCCAGATGAGTTTTAACAAACAACTCGTAAGTAGAAAACTCTTGTCTAATGATGATTTGGTATTTCATATAACAAAGCGCATTAATGAACCATATATAGTGTAGTCAATTCGAATCGTTAGATTTGTATCTCGCGAAGTACGGGTAACTGTCTAATGATGATTTGGAATTTCAACTGAGCAATCAAAATAAATTGCGTGATTTGAGACTCAAAGCTGTACATTTGGGTAGTAATACAAATTACTATCAGGGAGTATACCTTAAAACAATTTGTCCATAATATAATTACCTTTAAGTGCTTAATATTTTACACACAGGCTAGCAAATAGATCATCTTGTTTTATATGTAACATAGACAGTTATATATAATTTCATTTGATTTAATCTGCCAAAAATTGTTAGACTCCTGTGTTTAATTTCTTGCAATGACCACTGTGTCATCTGCGTGGGTAATTAGATACTGTCGGCCAAATTTATGTGCTCTGAACAGATATCCTAATTACGACTCTCACTTCACTTCTTTATGAAATACTTCTGTTGATTCAATACTGCATTGATGAGATACTACATTAATTTGACGCTGTTTGACATATATATTTTTATTGATCTAAGGTATGATCTAACGAATAATAAGTATAAAAGGAGAAGTTATGATTTTATCGTAAAAAATAAGCTTTGAAGACATATTCTATCAAAAGCCGAATGAATACCTGAAAAACAGACGAAGAATACTTTTTCATTTTAATACTTTAAGTAATTATATTGACTGTTCGAATTTTTTTTTTGGGGGATTCTCTTGTTCCGGTTTACCATGATCTTTTCTTAAGAACATCAGTTTGTTCTAGTAATACAATCAAATACCATATATATTTTTAAGTTGAAAGAAATATGATACGTTATAAGATAAAAGTATTATTTATTATTTTCAAAATATTAACTAATGACATGTTTACTTAGAAATGATCTTATATGATCGCCATTATATCATTTATACACATAAATCTAGACATACATTGTGACCGAAAAGTTTCCGGTCACAATGTA